TGGCTATTTGGACAGAAAGTGACATCCCCTAAATTTATTTATGACAAAATGATACATTTTTATATTTTTTTAGTTATTTTTGCAAAAACTGGGCCGGACCCGATGAGGGTTGCCTACGTATCTCACATCCGGTGAGAATCAAACCCGCGTAGTTCGGTCAATTTTGATGCACAGAAAAATATGATTTGTTTTGAAATGATTCTCTCTTTTTTTTTTTTGAAATTTTGGCAGAGTAACGAGATTTTTGAATATCGGGATTATCAAAACCGGGCATTTTTCTATCCTACCTCGCTCTTGGTTTTTCTTTTTCTTTTTTTTTTTCTTATTTTTCTTTTCTTACTCTAGAAGCCGGTCAACATACAAGCCAAGCAAATTAATGCACAAGTAGCACGTAAAGAGTGCATCAGGATGGTCTTTTGATTTTTGGGTGCACCTATCCTAGACGGACCCAACCCCTGTANAACCAGTGTCCGGAGCCTCAAATCCGTGGGGGTCCCCATACCGGCTGTATAAGAAACGGAATGTGCAGAATCCTCCGGCTAAATTTTCATCGTTAACCTGCCGGCTAATATNTTACCCGAGCGGACAACTCGAGCCGGGGGGCAGCGTACCGGGAATACAGAAGCTTCACCGGCTTTGCAACTTGTCTGAACCTCGTTCTAAAATTAGGATATGACTCTAACAGAAAAGAAGTCACGTGAAGCGCACGCTCCCCAGAAGATTTAGAAGACTCAAAGAAAAGGAGGGTTTCGTAGCAGTTTATATACAGTTCAAACAATATCAAAGCGGTAAAAAGCGGCATTTAGCACATTAGGCTCAAACACGTAAAAATCAGATAATAGACAAAAACCAAGTATAACAGTTATTCTAAGCTCGAATTCTGAACCCTGAACCAGAGATTCTGGGTTCGATCCCCAGCAGAGTCGCCAGATCTGTCACACCTCCTTTTTCCCGAGGGGGATAGGGGAGTTTTTCCAATTTAAGTGACATAAATCGAAATGAGATTGTTTATTGATTCAGAGTCGCCACTTGAGATAATTTATGGTGTCCCAAGTCACCGGTTTATTTTAAATCCCAAATCGAGGAAATTTGACTCTACTTATGGTCTGCGAACATAGGAGATTGGGTAAGGAATTCTGTTAACCCGGGAGAAGGTGTTAGGCATTCCCGGATTTTGTGATTTTAGCACGGCCGCTTAACTATTAATAATTGGCCCAATTATCTGACTAATTGCATATTTAGAACCTATTATGCATTTTTAACTTTTAATCATTTTTAGTATTTATGGAATTATTTTTGGAACAAGTCACGATATCGTACACTTGTCGTTTTGGTACACATTGCAAACCGCGCCATATGAAATGTACCCGCGATTTACAACATGTTTATTTTATTATTATTCGAAGTTATAGTCGGGTCACATAAAATGCACACCCGAATTGGAATTGCGTATCATGACTATGCCACGGAAACCGTACCCATAGTCATGATAATTTATTTATGAATCGCGTCTAAAGCAAGCTACGATGTTCATGATTTTTCTAAAAGAACTAATTTGAGGTTATTGCAAGGACACGAATTATGGAAAATCAATGTGGATTAATGTGTAAAGATTGAGAAAATTCAAAGACTATTCTGATTCAACAAATATCCAATTTTAACTTAATGTCTCTAATAGTTGGCATGAACTCAAACAATTAGGATGTTCCAAAATAACACAAATAACGATGAAAGAATACGTCCAAAATGGAATCAAGAATTATCCAAACTTAAAGATTAGTTTCACAAAGATTTACATGCCGAATGAAGACTTCTATAATAACAGATACTTGAAATCAACTAAGAGCTTGATTCATGAATTCCAAGTAGTATGCACAAAGTTTAACACGAGATTTACGGTCAAAACAAGCCTAACGAAATTAATAAGCGGGAATCAATTACGGCAAACTAAAGCTTGGGTCGTGTATCTCAACATAGGGCACAAGAATGTTGAACATGAAAAGGAGCCTAATAATTCAAATATATTTTCACACTGAAACCCAAAAAAAGCCAATCAAAAAAAATACCAAACAGTCCATTCAAATCAAAATATCAAAGTTCATGTTTCAGCCAAACGCTTTCACAATCAAAAACCTTTAAACTTCCTTCATCGGTGATAAAATGTAGATGCATCTGATNTCGGTGATAAAATGCAGATGCATCTGACCGTGTAATAAGAATAGACATTCATTATTTTTAATAAACTTAGACCAATTTTATATCATACAACTCATTTCAACCTAAATCCCTCATCATGCTTTTTACCACGCCAGAAATAGAAGGAGATAGAAATGAACCTGAACGGACTTGCAAGGAAGAAAAAAAAAACTACTAGAATCCGGAATTCAACAGGAACGGTGACCGAAAATCAATACCTCGAACAGCAACGAACTCAAAACACCTTCAAACTCAGTCAAATCCCATAATTCGAAAACAGAGAATTCGAACTGAAGGGGGAAAACCGAATTTTTTTTTGAATTTCTGAATCAAATGTCAAGACTAAAGTTCAAATTAAGAGCATATTTGTCAGATTTTTCTGAAATCTAGAAGAAACAAAGAAATCAAATTCGAATTTGAGGAAGAAGAATTCCTTTTTTTTTTTAAAAACCCCAGTTTTCTTATCTAATTTTTGTACCGATTTTTTTCTTTTTTCTTAAAAAAAATCCTCACCTTATATAACCTTTCTAAATCCTCGAACCTTCTGCCCTTCTCCCCCAAATCCAAAAAATCCTCAAATCTCTTTGTGTGAACGATTTTTTCGGGACAAATGGAGGGTATAGATTGATTGTCAATCAATCCATGACTCCCATTAATCTAAAAATCGCCCAGCAAAGAATCTATAACGTGAAATCCGGAAGGAATAATTCTGTTTTGTCAGAAATCCGTTAGGGTTAGAGTGACGTGGAAGAGGGAGAGAGGAGGGGACCATGTGAGTGAGTTTGGGTGAGTGACTCGGCCGGTTTGGACGTGGTGAGGGCGGCAGTGACGTGGGAGAAAGAAGGGGTTGCGGCTGGTTAGTGCAAGTTTAGGTTTAGGGTTTGTTAAGTGTTATGTTTTGTTTAAGGTGTGGGAGTGAATCTTGGCCATGGGATTAAGGGGATGGATGGCTAGAATTTAACGAGGGAGATGGAGCTGGTCAGACGGGTAATTGGGAGGGTACGGGCTGATGGGTCAAGGGAAATTGGGCCATTGAAAAATGGCTTTGGCCCAAACCGGAACCAAACAAAGCCTTTCTTTTATTTTTTTTTTCTTTTCTTGAATTTTTAAATCCTAATAAAATTAATTAAAAACCTAAGTTAAGTTCTAAAATAATCTAACTTGTAGAATTGAATTAATTATCTATTTCTAACATTAAAATAATTTAGTAACCTAAAACTAATGAAAGAAAAATACTAATTTTAAAACTAAAAGCTAAATATGTAAAAATGACCAATATTTTTTGATTTTTTGTTTAATAATGCAATTAACTCATGCAATTAAATCCTAAATGCAACTAGACCAAAAATGTTATGCATGAAATACTTTAGACATTTTGGTATTTTTCTTATGATTTTAGAATGTTAAATATGCAACTAAATGTAAGCAACTTTTAACCAAAATTCCTACAAATTCTATAAAACTAAAAACAATTAGGAAAGATCTATTTGTGAATTTCTATAGGAATATTTTAGTCGGGCAAAAATCACGTGCTCACAAGTGCCTTTTCTGCTTGTGTAATATCCATACATGAGGCGTTTTTCTGTTTGTGGGTTTAACTGTAGGATTACAATGACGAATTTTACAACATTAAGAAGCATGACAGATACTGTACCAAAATACAGCACACTTCGTTATAACAAAATAACAACCAAAATACATTATTTTCAAGCCCAATATGACTCGTGATCAAGCACAAAATATGTCTAATTTCATGAAAGATTAAGAAAAAAGGCAAAAGAGGCCCAGAAGGGGGAAAAAGAGAAGAGGTATAACACTTACATTCCTTGTATTTAATTAAAAGAGAGTATAACGTAAGTTCCATTAAGGACCAAAAGAATAGACTACCACAACCACTAATGACTTGGACTTAAAATAGACTGGAACACAAAACAATAGAAAATGAAATGTGGTTTAAGCTAGCTCTGAATGGAACCTACCTAACCCGCTCTAGAAAAATTAACATCCAAAAGAATTTGATATAAACTTTGTTAACAAAATAATCTTCCAAGTAATTATGTTGTTGCCATGAATTTGTATTTGGAAAATCACAAAGGAGGAAGAAGAATACAAAGAGTAGTAGATCTTCTTTTCTTTTGCTAATTAAAAGGATTATTTATTAAAAGCAGGAGTATCATTACAACATGGGACTGATCTAAACGATGTAGTCCCTAAATAATCTTTGTGGAATATTAAGGAAACAAATAAAGGTGGCTCATTCCAAATTACGTAGCCGCATTCAGCATTTGGATGTGAGTCCCAGGTACTCTCATATTTTGCTATAGTACGCGCGACTTGATTCCCGTCGAGCAAGAATCCGCGGTCATGTGGAAGATTAACATAAGATTTGCTATCATATTTTTGTTGTGATAAGGAAATTAATACCTAGCAGTCCGTCTCCACTATCAGTGGTATTCTGTTTTTTCTGAAAGCGAGTTCCAAACCCTTGAGTAATGCTATAATTTCAGCTTGTATAGGTGTTGTGGCAACTATATTGTTTGAGAATCCATCAATCTAGTTTCCATTGGAATCTATATTTAGTTTATAGATGTTGTGTGGTGGTGGTGTCCACCTGATCGGCATTTTGATTTGATTGTATTTTTTGCTGATTTTTGTTGGTTGGTTAGGTAAGGATATTCTACCTTATTCGCCTTAAGGTGGCGTGAGGGCTTACAATTCAGAAGAAAACTTTTCTAGTGAGTCTAATTTGACTAACTTTTGGGGAATATTTACATATTAGAAATTTCACAACACTTCTGCAAATGTATAAAAATCACCAATTTCTTTTTTCCAAGTAGTATTAGTTACCCTATTAGAAGGAGGCTATACAATATAACAATATAACAAAATAAGACAAAAAGAAATTGGAAATCAACACAGGTATTGAAAAGATGTAGTTGGAGAAACACCTTTTAGTAATGGGTGTTATAGGACACCATATCGCAAAAATGTTTTATAATATAGTATATATATGAGTAAATAATATTTTTTTAGAAAAATATGTAAGGTCCATATAGCTTGAAAATAATACAAAGTAGATATCAATTTACAAGAAATCTTAAAAGCATAACTGTCCCAAATTCGAACTCACTTATGAGCACAGAATATCTCTAACTTTTCTTCATCATCCACCAGTTACACATGAAAACATTCTACGGTGGCTCCTGAAACGCACTAGTTCTTTATCCTTCGCTGGAGTGCTAATCTCCGGCGAAACTCCACCGGTATATTCCACGTGGAGGGACTGTGTTAGTCGGTGCCGGTTGTTCTCCGCCTGAAGTTCACCACCACCAGCCACCTTATCACTGGGAGTCACTTCATAATGTTTACTGTTGATGAAACCATTTGGATAGAAATTTTCAATATTATAGCTGTTATTAGCAGCACCAAAGGAGAGACATTCATATCGCCGGCGAGTTCTACTCCTCTTAATTGTCTTGTACACTAATGGAATAAGTCCTTCCATATATAAAACTTTTTCTCTTACTTCTTTTTTGTTGGTTTTGAACTTGAAAGAGACGAAGAAGAAGAAGAAAATGAATAATTTCAAGACTTTGGCTAGCTTCTTTTGTTATATATTGGGATTTGGTGGGAGTTTACCAAGTTTTCTTTTTTCTTCTTCTACCATATAACTTATCAATATCTCTTCTTTTTATTTATTTCCACATTGACTTGATCATATATCTTGCCCCCCAATCATGTCCTATTCTTGTTTTTTATTTATAATTTATTCATTCCAGAGAAAAAGCTAAGTACCTGAAAACGACAGTTTGTGCAAGTACATATTTATTTAAAGTTTTGGTGAACAAAGTAATTGGATATATGTATTTACAAAAATAGCATATACTCTTTTGAAATTAGTCGAGATGTATACAAGCTAAAGTTTTGATAAACAAAATTATCTGATATCCGTTTTGGTGAACAAAATTATCTGATATCCGTTTTTGTGGGACGTAGAACGTATCCCATAAAATTAATTGAAGTACACACAAGCTAACCGCTATTATTTAAAAAAAAAAAAAGAAGAAAAGAAAAAGAACAACAGTTTGTGAATTTAAACCTAGCTTGACTTGTTCTTTGTATGTTAATTCATTAAGAAGCACATTGATTTGGACTGTTTCTTTGCGTGCATCATTAACTTATATCATTATTCAATTAGTAAAATAATAACCTAGTTGAATGGCATTTTTCATAAGGAAAAAGATTAGTGATGCAAATTCTAGAAGGTATGACAGGATAATTGGATAAACTTCATTTTAGTTAGAGAAGGAAAAGTACAGTTTAATTAACTACTGGGAGGAATAATTTATTACTCCTACTATATTTTATGGAACACTACTTATTGCTTTATTTATCTTTTTTTAATGAATTAAAACTTCTTATTTTTCTTTTGTTGACTTAGTTAAGCTTAGGTGTATCCTCATCCAATTTGCCTCGTCAAATTGTCCTTTAGCCTCTCTTTGTCAACAGAAAACTGTGGACTATTACATTATCTTTTGAGCAAGAAAGAGTGCGTGTGTGAGCCAACAACCTTGTTTAGCTCAATTTAGAAATTGCCTAATTGTGATCTTATTTGCTATACCTCACTATGCAGATTTGAGTTTTGCCACCTGCCTTGCTCTCTACAGCTATATCGGATTTCGTTTCGCAAATAAAAGAGAATATCTTCGAGATCACTGTGATGTGGCTGAATGTATAGCAGTTCGGCCTTATAACTTAGCTTCTCCACTTTTGACACCATTGTATGTAGTTTGCTTTAGCTCAATCAATACACTACACCAATTTAGTTTTAAACAATTGCATTTGATGCGGTTTGCTCATAATTATACATAAATTTTTAAATCGGAGAAGAGTCAAAACTGTCCTTATGCTAGTTGATATAGAATAATTATACCCTCCGTTAAAGTTGGCATCAAAACTACCCTGCCGTAACCAATTTGACTCACTTATACACTTTTCTACTAACAAACTTAATTTTTGCATTTTTTATAATTTCAAATATTTTTTTATCTTAATAAAAACGCCACTTGTCCAAATTACCTTTCCCACTTTTTACTTGAGCCCCCTCCCCTCCCACACTTTTATATCTGACCCCTAGTCCATTATTTTGTCTTACTTTTTTTTTTTTTTTTTTTTTTTTTTTTTCTTACTCTTTTTTTAAATTTATTTTCAACCTCCATTAGTAGCAAACTCCATCAATACCACCCCTTAACCACACCATTGCTCCACTACCGTTTTCTCTACTACTCCCTCTCCCTACCTAATTTTCAACTAAAACACTTCCTGTAATCCTAAATCACCATTGTCCGTTTCTCTTTCAGCTCTCTTTCTCTTCAGATTTTTACCCTTTCTTTATCTTCTTCAACTTCTCCAACTTTCGTCATAGACGTTGCTCCTTCTTCTTTACCCTATCTCCTCCAATACCGATATTGCTCAGCTACCCAAAATCACCTACTAAAAATCAACGACCATACGTCACCACTAATCGAGATTATTGGTCCTCAGTAGAAACTATTAAAAATATTACCATAATTCCAAACGACGAGCTTCACCACTTCTAAGGTTGAGACTCAATTGAAACAATAATTCAGAGAAAATGTCTAATCATTGATAGAGATTGAAAAGAGAGGAAGAAAAAAGATAAGAAAAATAGAAATTAAAAAAAAAATTGGCTCAAAGTTGATGAACTATGTGAGGAAGAAGAAGTGAAAAAAAAGTAAAATTTTAATGGGGGGCTAGGGGTCCGGTGTAACAACAAGGGCGGTGAGGGAAAAAAAAAAGAGGGGGCATGTTATTAATTGGGACAATTAGCATTTTTTATGGTAAAAAAAGGATTTGAAATTATAAAAAATGCAAAATTTAAGTTTGGTAGTCGAAAAGGGTATAAGTGAGCCAAATTGGTCACGACTGAGGTAGAATTGATATCAACTTTTAATCGAGGGTATAATTTTTCTATATTTAATAGTAAAAATAATTTTGACCCTTTTTCATTTTTCAGATGTTGAAGGGCCGAAGAAAGTGCATGAAGAGAGGAATTCGAACACTCAGAAAATTAACAAAAGCAAATATAGTAACTATTACACTTTAAATCAGTCGATCATCTCTGATCCAAAAATTGAGTTAATAGCAAGTAAATCATATAAAATTATTGATTGAATAAGTGTGGCCAATCCATTTTAACTAAAATGATAGTAAATGTTGTATTTGATCTCTTGCTAGGAGTGAAATGGTATGAGTATTCTTTTTTGATTATCATCCTTCCTTAAATTAGTATTGGAGGCGACACCAGATCAAAGTAAACTCATAGAGTTCTAGAGTGAGAAAGTGTCTACCTTCTCTCCAGGACTAATCTTAACGTAATCTTTCCGTTACTTCTATTTTATTACTGTTAGATTTTCAATCTATTTTTTTCGACCTGTCTTATGTTACAAACGGTGATCTCTTGGTACGCCCAAACCCACCTCCACCACTGAAGCAGAACCACGACATACCAGTACATATGCAACAATTTATAATTATGCACCATCCTACCCAAAACCCCTCTTTAGATTTTCCTCCTCTGTCAGGCCAAAACTTCAATAGACAGATTCTCAGATTTGAACTAACTGGAGGTGTTACTCAAACCTCATAAGGGGTACTTGCAATCGACCCTCAATCGCCAAAAGGAATTGGGTTAAGTTTCTTCCCAGACCTTATGAGGTTATCAATGGTAAATCCATTGTCTTTTTTACAAAGGAAGAGAACGACATTTTAGCTCAAACTTGCAAATGAACAATTGTGGGTAAGTTTCTTCAAATTCGGTCGTCGATAGATATTATCCTAAGTGAATTTGCTAAAAGCTTCCCAGGAAAGGGAACCATCAAAATTAGGGCTTATGACATGAAACATGTGTTTATTGATTTTGACAATCTGGAAGATCATGCGAATTAAGTTCCAAGAAATTCATAATGATCGGATCAGACGTCGTGATGACGCCTAGAAAGTAGACTAAGAAATTTATACCGGAAGGAGAATCTACACATACACCAGTTTGGATTATACTTCTAGACCTTTCATGGCATTACTACGAATGAGATGCCATTTTTCGCATTATTGATCTTGTTCATATACAGGTCACTCTTGTTCGTATACAGGTCACTATGGATAAGGCTACTATATCCAAATCTAGATCCATTACTGCAAAGGTTCGTGTGGAGATTGATCTCACTAAACCTGTCCTTGAAGAAGTAAATATTGAAATCAGGAATGAAGAAAACAATCAAGAGATGTTCACTCAAAGGTGGAAATGAATCCACCCCCTCTTACTGTTTCATTGGAAAATGCAAGGTCATTGTGATAGTTCATGTAAAAAAATTCATCCGAATTTGAAAATAAAAGGAGCACAATATTGTCGCACAATAATAGTATTCACAAAAAGGTCTTGCCTACAATGGTAAACACAAGGATCAGAGAAAATTTCAAGGACCAAGCAAAAAATATAGTGCTACCACTATCATACCAAACAAGATTCTGCCAAGAGGAGAGGAGATCAATAGTAGCCAAGAGCAGACAAATGAAATAGAAATGGGAGAAAGATCCACTGATAAAGGTTGGCAAACTGGGTAAAAAAGATAGGGGCAAAGGCAATGTCACGACCCAAAATTCTAACTACGGGGCAGTGATGGCGCCTAACATCTGCTTGCTAGGCAAGCCAACATTAGCTAATCAGTTATTCAATCTAACAATTTGTAGAAGCCTATTATTGAGAAATAAGACCAAAATGCTTTGAAATACATAATAAAATCCATACACACTGTCTAGTATAATCCCAGAAACTGGTGGCACAAATGCATGAGCTGCTAAAATACTATAAACAGGGTCTGAAACAAAATACAACTGTGTGAAACGAAGTAAAACAGTAAAATAGATAGGAAGGGTTCTTCAGGTGTGCGAACGTTGTGCAGCTGTGCCTGAGTTTCTGTATAAAGACGGGTCCGAGCAATCTCCACTAAGCGCCACTGGGACCAACATCGAAATCTGCACAAGAAGTGCAGAAGTGTAATATGAGTGTAATCGACTCCATGTACTCCGTAAGTGACGAGCCTAACCTCAACGAACTAGTGACGAGGCTATGACAAGGCACTCACTATAAACCTATACGAGTATAAGTAGAAAACAACAACAGAATAGAGAAACAACAATTAACATGAAAATAAGAATAAGAAATATACAACAGAGGGCCCCAGAATATCATCACTTCTCAGTATCACTACACAATACAGTAACGGAAACCAACAACCAAGAATACCCATAATACACCTTCTCCGTTGCAGTGCACAACCCGATCGTGTGTGTGTATATATATATATATATATATATATATATATATATATATATATATATATATTATCAATATTATTGCATCATACAACCCGATCCCATATATATATATATATAACATCAGTACCATTGCAGTGAGCGACCCGATCCCATATATAATATCAGTACCGTTACGGCGTGCAAACTGGTCCCATATAAAATGAATATGTACAATATTACAACTAACTACGGTGTATCTCACATCAAAACGTAAAAGGGGTACTAAACGTATAAATTCTCTAAAACAATCCAATAT